AATAATATTCAACAAGCCACGACATAATTTTTCTTTCGTGCTTGCAAGGTATACTTGGAAGTCAGGTCAGGACATACTATGATTAAGCTAATTACGCCAAGTGATAAGGCGGAGGCAGGGGCGTAGCCAGGAGTTGGCATGATGGGTCCGTTTTTTTTTTTCACCATGGCATCCAGAGCAAAAAAAAGACTATTCAAGGGGATGTCCTTCCCAAAATCATAAAGGTGTCTTACGCAAGCTTGGAGGGTTTTCGTCGTCGTTGATCACCGGGCTGCAAACATGAACTTCGTATAATGCACGCTGTTCTTGGTTCAGTGCTTGAGTATAATATTTTCGACACGGAATCTTCATATCTTGAACAAACTTGCTGCCACAACATACCGAACGGGAGGCTCGGTGTTGGATGCGTTTCAGTAGTGGTCGCGTGCTATTTATAAGTTGGGGTTTGGTAAGGAATCAACGAAACTCTTTGAGGTGGCTCTATTTGAAGGGAAAAGATACATATTGCTGATGAAAACAAGGTTGGCATGTGTAGCGCTCGAAATTGTTTGTGATTCGATGGCAATGTCTTGAAATTGCGTGCGCGTTTGTGAAATTGAATGATTCGAGTCTTTCAGTACATGAAATTCTGAACCTGATTCGACATAGTTTCTGTGTAATGGGCTTAATCGAGGCTGTCTGAAAAGTAGTCAACGAATTGCTGCGATGGTGCTTTTTTTTTATTACACACTCCCCCCCCCCCCTGCATTTAATTTGCTGGCAATGCTAACAATTGGATGTTAATCTTTTTTAATTTGGAAGCTTATACACTTGTAATCACCACACATTGCAAGTGTTGATTCTCAGACACGTGAAGCTGCACACCAAACACGTTTTGTGCAAATACAACCCTTGAAAAAGGTTGTTATGATTATAGTGCAGTGCCGCTTATAGTGCAGATATTGGCTACTCCCACGACTTATGCTATAAGAGGTTTATACTATATCAAGTCGATGTTGATTGTTGAAATATCAGTCCAGAAACTTCATAGTGCTACTTTTGTGCCAAGGGAGGGCTTATTTTGAAATAAAATCACGTTTTAGTGGTCCGTATTGCCTTAGCGCACTTCAAATCCCCCGACTGAAAGGTCTATCTCAAGTCACTTTTGACGTGCACAACGTTGCCCAGCTTTAGTGCGCGGCCACCGACACTAGTAGCAGCAGGGTGAAAGTAGCGGGAACCACAACAGCAACAACGGCCATTGAACAATTTTCCGCCATGGCCTCAGAGATGGCAGGCGGGCTTGATTCAACTGGACCCTGTCAGATGGCAGGACCTGTCCAGTTTAAGAAGGCTAACATTGAACTTCTAAACCACTCGCCCCATTCCCCATACAATGAAATCTTAGTAGAACGAACCCCACATTAACGAACTTTTCAGATGAACAAACTTTTAAAAAATCCCACGCCGATCGCTAATAGTTTCAATGTAAAATTATTTAACTATTATGTATTTCAGAGTACCAAACTTTTCAGAATAACGAGTGTCAATTTAGTTCCACATTATATTAACGCCTCAGTATTACGAACTTATGTTCTGAAATCCGTCGCAACCACCGGAGCGGTGCGCAAGCAGACGACAAAGAGAACGGACGGCTTGCTTCTCGGAAGACGCAAAACGGTGTGGATAAAAAAAAAAACTAAAGGGCGACTTTCTATTCTTTTTTTTGTTGTTGTTGAAACGCGGGCGCTGCAGGTTTACAAGCGGGTGCAGAGGCGAGGGCAAGGTCAGCGAGGCAAAGTGGGAGTTGCGGAGCAAGAAGCATGGGCACGGAAAACCTGAGACAGCGAGAGAGCAGAAAACGAAACGCAATTTTTCTTTTTTAGCACTTTTTTTTCTTCGAAAGAGGCAATGACAGCCGTGACGCTTCAGGCTTTTCTTTTGAGGCATTGTTTTTTCAGTCGTGTTCATTTGTTTTCACTGATTACTTATCGCATCCGCAAAGCAAGTCGGCCTTCACGCTGCGGTGATACTACAAATGAGTTCATCTCTGCAACGAAGAAGCGGAAGCAGTTTTTGCTAAGCGATTGATCGATTGATATGTGGGGTTTAACGCCCAAAAACCACCATATGATTATGAGAGAGGCCGTAGTGAAGGGCTCCGGAAATTCTGGAAGGCAAAAAGCAGGTTGTTGTGACCAAAGAACCGAATTGCACCACAGGAATGTGGATAAGCTGGAGGCCTTCATGCTGCAAAGTTTGTGCTGCTCGCGAAAAAAAAAAAAAAAAAACAGGCTTCTTTAATGTAAACGTGCATTTTTGGGCGTTTACTTGTACATTTGTTTTTTTATCATGAAAAACGAGTTTATGGACCCACCGTTGTAAAGGTAAGTCGTTTTGGTCGGTGAAAATAAGTATTTATGGTTAATTTTCGAGCTTTCACTATAACGACCTTTCAAAATAACGAACAAATTTCCGCGGTCCCCTGAAGTTCGTTATACCGAGATTTCACTGTAGTAACGTCTGGTGGTTCTTCTCTCTATGAATCAAACAGCAACAAACAAGCAGCATTTCATTATGTTTTATGATGCACAGAAGGGGTACGCGGTCCCCTGAAGTTCGTTATACCGAGATTTCACTGTAGTAACGTCTGGTGGTTCTTCTCTCTATGAATCAAACAGCAACAAACAAGCAGCATTTCATTATGTTTTATGATGCACAGAAGGGTCTCTATTTAGCGAAGCTAGTGCAATTACTAGTGATTAATTGTAGGCGGTACCTCTGACGTAATCGGGATCATATTGCGAATGCACCACGTGTCGCACATGTGTTCTCGTGCATTTACCTTTTTTTCTTGGTAAGTACAGTACCACAGTTTATAATATGGTTGTTTAAGACATTGTCATACATTGAGCTTTCACTCTGACAAATTTTTATTTGACTTTTAAAGCTTTTCGCATAAACAATAAGCAACAGCACCACTGTTAGACACATGATAGCAATGCAAAATTTCGTTTATCATCGAGTCACTGTAATGCTGCATTCACATAATAATTAATACTCCTCATGTTTGGAACAACAGCAAGTGCACTGTATGATTTTCTTCAACTACGAAGCGGGCACCTACACCGAAATGATCCTGGCGAATGGAGGGTGCGACGGCGATGCAAAACACTTTTAGCAAGTGTACAAGCTTATCTTATTGCAGGACATTGTGGATGTGCTAATACCCCTGGTAAAGTCGCTTGCGCCTCGTGGCGCACATGTTTTTCGGGCACAGGCCGCATTTAGGGTTCAAAACTATTGAGCGGTAGGTGGCGTTCTGCTTGCAAGCGTTTATCACCACCATCATCATCATGGTTAGCGCGGCAGTGCCAGCAGTGATGCCAGGTGGCAAGCCTGGATGGCGGCACATGATAGATGAGCGGTCCTCTTTGGCGTGTGGGGGTTGGAGCGAGCGGTCGTCTCTCATGATGGGCCCAAGAGGACAGCTGCGCAGGTCGTCACTCGTGGGCCTTTGTTACGAGTCGAGCGTTGGCGACACCACCTTGTGTGTTATATTGTTGAGTGTTGTGGAATATTGTGTGAGGCTGTTTTAGCGTGTTGATGACAACTGATACATTGATTCTGCTGATGATATCATCGCTGAAAAAGCAGTTAAAAATAATGGTGTCGTTGGTTTGGGTCCAACCACGTCTACCATGTCCGTGTGCCGACAGTGGTGGGCATTCTCATTTCGAGACCTCACAACATATACAGCCGAGCAAGGCCAAATGCTTCTGTAGATTGTGCTAGGCAAACGTACAAGAAGTTAGACTTGAGCTAATAGAGTGGGACAAACTACCCTTTGAGGATGAACATGACATACGCGCACATGCTAGCCTTACGGGGCTAGCAGCTGACGCAAGGAGCAATCCACACAAGGTGCACTTCAGCCAGTGGCCACCAGGCAGTAACTCCACTCGATCTCTGGGCAAATAGAATTCACTATTTCCACGACCCTACTTATGATGAATTTGGATTTGGAAGCGCATGTGCACAAGCTGACAACATGTACTGAAAGTACATTAAATCGGCATTCTAAAAAAAAAAGAGCACGAAAAAAGGTCGCGTGTTTGTCTCTCAACGGTAACAGTCATCTGGCTAGCTAATGTTCCTTTAAATGAAAGCTTGTGAGACCTGCGATTTCCTATCAAAAATAACATGTCATGCAGATAGCACGCATGCCTTTCGTGATCTGGACGTACTGGGTGCGTAGTAATAATGCAAGACAAGGCATGGCGCGCAACACAGATGATAATTGTCGTGGGACAAAAAGCCACCGTTCTTACGTGAACTTTTACGTGCATGGAGGTTTCGCTTACAATTAAATGCATTGTGATATTTTCTGGCTAGTATCTGATTGTAACATGAAGGTAGACTTCAAGCTGAAACACTTGAAAAAAGAAAAAAGGCGTATTACGGTTGAGTAAATAAGTTACCAGCAATACTAATAGGTTGCAACATTCTTGTAACCATGTGCTATACCAGGTTTATTGTTCCAAATTTTTAAGCAATAAATACTGTGCCAAATTACTTATTAGCCATTTCAATAAATAACCCATTTCTTGAGTTGATTCAATACATAATTTGAAACCTACCATTCAAACCTTGCACAACCATAAATAACTGTAAAACCTGCAAGTCTAGTTTGTACTTGCACTTGAAGTTCTGGTGCATGGTGGCAATGATTTATGGGGTTTAATGTCCCAAGTGCAATTGAGGCTGCAATAGGTGGCATGGGAAGGGCTTGGATAGTTTCGACCACCTATAATTCTTTAATATGGTTTGATATCGCGTAGTATCTGAGCCTATACAGTTTCACCTCTCTAAAAATGAAATTTCTACAGCCAGAATTGAACCAACATCTTTTGGCACAGCAGCCAGACACCATAACCACAGAGCCACCCTCGTACTGAAATTCTTGTGTAAATCATGTAAAAGTTCACAATGCATGAAGCAATTAAAGCATCCATTCTAACCTGTTCAGCAGGTGATGTGCGCAGTGTGGAGCCATCAGTGGCAGCTGTGCTTCCTTCATCATCACTAGCCCCGGCTGAGGCTGTAGTGTCTGAATAATGACCGCCCTCAAGAGAAGACGCCCGTTGACTTTGACCTTGTGAGCCTCCAGTGCCGCCCAGAGCACCAAGATTTATGTCTTCAGACTGGCCAGGTTGATCCTGATCATAGTGAAAAAACAAAGAAAGACATGCAACAAATCCACAGCACACAACAAGGCAAAGGAAAATGTAACATACTTGAAGGCTGAGGGCAATGGCCAGTTCCACCATAGTTTCATCGTCAGCATCAGGCGGAATATCAAGCAGCGGTGGGAAGGCACCTCCTCCACCAGCCCCACTGGCACCGCCCAAAAGGACCACTGCATCCATGTTCTCAAGCATCTCAAAATGCGACTCCACATCTGCCTGAGATTCCAGGGAAGCCTGTGGCTGGACCTCAAGGCCCCCAATCGACGATGAGCTGCCTGGCATGGACACTGGGGGCTGTGGAGTACCTGACAGGGACTGCGACACACCTGTTGCACCTGATGTAGATGCTTTGCCTCCATCTGTATGGTCAGTGGCTAATTCACCTGTATAGAGAGAGACACTTGAAATTCTAGTTTTATTTATCCCAGTCTTCCAATGAAGTACACAGTGTTGAAATGTAGAGATCAAATGATTTCTAAAAATGATAAAATTATGAGCATCTTCCCAGTGCTCTTCTAGCCAACAATTGCTTAAAATTCACATCTAAATGCTCAATTACAGTACTATCCATTGTAACTTCAATCAGATACATACCAAACTACTTTTAACGACAAAACTTCAAGGTACTTAAGATTTTTCTATGCTACCCACTTAAAGGGCATCCACATCTACCAAACATTTCTCAAAACAATCTACTTTCAGAACGAAACACTTCCGACAGAGTCACACAAAAAAATCTGACATAATTCGAAGTAGGCTGAAATCGCTTTTGAAAACAAGCTGGCTATTAAAAAACTAAAAAGAGCTCATTGATCCGAACTGCCTGGAAAGTGTCACCTAGCTGCTTGTCATTGCTTTTTGCATGAGGAGTTCACCACAACCACATGCTGAAAATTATGAATCCCATGCTCTAATGACAAAAAAAAAAATATTTTAAAGGCCTAACTTTACCACATAGATGAGCTTCATTTTTTTTTGTTTAAGAGATGCAAGTCCAAAAGTGCAAGTTTTTTCCGAAATTGAATATTTTACATTAATTTAATTTGCTTTCACAAGTTTAGTTTTCCTACTTTTGCAAGAAAAAGCTGAAGATTGCATACACTAGAAGTAGGTTAAAATTGCTTTTAAAAAGCCCAAGGTGGCTACTAAAAACTAAAGAAAACTTATAATATAATTATTGGGGTTTAACTTCTAGAATAAAGAAAACTTACAGTCCAGAGCTCTCCAGAAATTGTCAGCTAACTGCTTGCCATTGCATTTCGCATGCGGAGTTCATTAAAGCCACAAGCACAAAACAATTGCCAAGCTCTTATGATAGAAGAACTCATTTTAAAAAAACAAATCTTTGCCACATAGATGAGCTTTGACATATACAGTCAAACACGGATATATCGAACCCACATATATAGAATTTTCGGGTATATCGAACAAATAAGTTATCCACTTGAAATTCCTTTGTAAAAGTATAGAAATTTGCACGTTTATATTGAATGGTATTTTCACCTGCCTTCAGGTATATTGAACACCGTGCGAGCTGGAAGGTGCGCTTCGGCACTCCCCCCCCCCTCCCCCCTCGATCTCCACGATAGCGCGGCTCCGCACACGAGTTGGAACTGCGATTTGGCACTCGCAGCCCCCGGCAACCTCCGCGTGGCCCCGCGCCTCCGTTCATACCCGAAATGCCCGAAAAAAGATAAGGGGGAGGGGGTTCAGACTGTACGGCCTCTAACATGCGAAACGGCTATTTTTTTTTTCGTTTATCTTTCTCTCATGCTTTCTCCGCATACCTGTCGGTTCGGAGAGCAGGAACGATGTAGCCAACGACCTCTTCTTTTCGCCTCTTTATTTTTGTTGCTGTCTTGCGAGTTTTGATCAGCCAACCACAGCTCACACCTTTCGCTGTTGCCCTTGCCGGTAACCATCGCCTCGCGAGCGCTTTATTGGCAGAGTTTGTTGTCACGTCGTCTACGTACTACCACATGTGCAGAATTCTTCTTTTGTGTACGTGGTGTGCAAAGCCGCTGCTGACTGCTTGAATTGTCGACTTCTCATGTAGCTATGGCCAGCATCAAGAAGCGCAAGACCTTTGACTTTTCGATGACATTGAAGGCTAATAATAATAAGCATGTTGAGGCGAGCGAGAAATGTTCGACCGTCGCAGACGACTTCGGGATACCACAGAGAACTTGCGACGGGATAACTTTCGGATACCGCAGGGGAACTTGAAGAAACCGGTGAAGACGGCGATGTCGAGCGCTTAGGCGACGTGTTTCATAAGTTGTCGTCCCTCTTCCCGACATCTGTTCCACACGAAGTGTCTGCAGACGATTTCGTGGAAGCGGACTGCGATGTCCAAGCCTTGCTGACGAGGACATAGTAGCTGCGATCACAGGGACCCAGGATGCCCAGGCCAAGAGCTCAAGTGACAAGGAGGATCGTCTGGATGAGGCACTGGCTACACGCGCGTATTCCACCGCGGAAGTGGTAGCAGCATTTAGTGTCCATTTGCCGTTGTTTCGGCGAGATGGAGGGAACCGGGCTGTCGCAACTGGACAGCCTTGATAAGATCAGAAAAAGAATCTTCAACTTCATTTAGAAAACGAAGAAGCAGGCCAAGAGAAACAATTTTTTTTTCATGCAAATAAAACATACTGTTGTGGCGTGTGTGAGGAATTAGTTGTCCTTCCTAAATGCACCTATTGTAGGTGATGGTCTGCTACAGCTAAGCTCTAGAGGCCTGTATTTATTATATCAAATTTTTGATTTATCAAACTAATTCGCGATCCACAACAAGTTCGATATATCTGTGTTTGACTGTACCTTTCAAATGCATTTTTTCCGAGACACATTTTTGGGAAACTTCTTCAGTTTGGACATGTTTTTAGTAGGCTTGTGCGAATAGTGAATTTTAGGTTCCAAGCGAATAGTGGTTTTGGTCGAATAATTTCGAATCGAATTTGACTAGTATATATGACATATAAGAAAAATTGGCACATTTATCATGACCTCACTAACCTGCACAATATTTTTTTAATTGAAATGAGCTCTTTATGCAAATGCCCCCTTTTTTTTTTCAAAGGAAGCCTAAACAACTTTAAACAATTTTGAGTAGTAGCAGGATTTGACTTTCAGTAGGATGCGAGCGATGACCTGTTAAATATGCAACATTTTAAAATTCAGTATGTACTTAGAGCATACAAGCCATCCTAACAAGCTTTTAAGCTTAAAAAAGTCACAGCTTTGCTGCAAAGGCGAAGCAATGAACATTATAGCAACAAATTGGAAGGTCACGCGCAGAATAGCAAGCAAATCAAAATGTGCCCCGTGTTTCTCACACACAAATGACGCACAAAACGTACTCACAGGTACAGATGAACGCGAATAAGCGTCCCGGATGTTACTTTGCTGTGTCTGAAAGGCGCACCCTTTTCGCAAACAGAGGCTGTGAAATGATTGCAGTGACCTTTGTGCGCCCCATAACTACAACAGAATCCTTCCAGTGCAAGCCTAACACCAGGCAAGGCGCATTATCCCCCCATTGGGAGATAAGGGCGTGCGAGAGATCGTACACTCCTCCGTGGGCCAAAGTACCCTTAAGAGATGAGAGCCGCCGCGCGCTCATTGTGCCATCTTATTGATAAAGCTGAAAACATTGCAGTGAAACCGTCTTTACAGGCAGTTACATGCGGACTAAAGTGCCAACCACTAGCACGCGTATGCTCGCGTCTACGCGTCAAAAGCGTCAAATGCACCTCTCGGCTTCGGCGTCGGAGGGGCATACGCGAGGAGGCGCGAGGGATCAAGCCGGGCTTGATATTTTGCCACGCGTACGCTACGTAACCACTCGTACAGCGGCGCCAACCAACCAGGGGCCGCCGCGTGCCAACCAACCAGAGGCCGCGATGCCTCGGAACGTTGTGCCTAATGGCCGCCGCTTCGAAGGAGCAGCAGAGTGCTGGAAGCAAGCACGGAAACTACTCCAAACGTTCCTGGATGACCGCTTCGTAATCTAGAACGACAACGACACGACGAACGACTGCGAGTGCTACCAGCGTGACGCGGTTTCGTGCCGAGTTCGAGCGACGCCGACAAATCCAGCAAATGCCGGCCGGCTATGCTAGCGCCGGTCCCGAGTGCGATCGTCGGCCGAGCCAAAGGAGCATGTCGGTGTTCTTGTGCTTTGATCTGTGACTTTCTGTGCTCAAAACGAGTGTAAACAGACTTCGGAGGTTCGAAGGTTTGAGCGTGAGCCCTCGCCTACCGCAGAAGTAATTCAGAGCGGTGTCATCTGCATCCAGCGCAGGCCTCTACCGCCTAGTTCGTATGAACCAGCACATGCGAGGAACATCGGCTGAAAAAACTCTACGGTAGTTTCCTTCGCAACATAGACACCATATACGACGGGCGAAACATCGCGTAGTTCATACGGAGGAGTTTTTATCTGCACTGTGTTTTCAACATCGATATTCATCATCGCTGAAAGCGAACCTCGCACTAGCCAACACATTTCGGTGGTGTGAAAACGTACGAACTTATATAAGTGTATTCGCGAATTGTATGACGCTGAAACATTCGTTGGCTTCGGTGCTAATCGTTTTCGTGGGTTTCCAAGCTAATAACAAGCGTGCGCTGGTTGGTAGCAGTGTGATGTGACTTCGTGTCGGGTACCAGCGACGCTGACACATTCAGCTGTCAGCGGTCTCATTTTTATTCATGTACAAGATAGAAACTCGAACGTGCGTTGCTGTGGTGATGGAAAAAAATTGCATGATTAAGTGCTGCTGGTATTGCCTGCTATTTCACTTCTCGCTTGTTCTGCTTCTCTGCCACGCTCAGTAGCACATACGTTGTTTTGGAGGCACTCTAACACACACATTCTTAATAGTTCATTCTGATACTCATAGCTATAGGCATACAATGGCGCTTCTCCGTCGTTTTACAGTTTACCTTAATATAACACGCGTTTTGTTTACAGCTGGACAGATAACTGAAAACCTTGCGAGAAGCGCATGATTTCAAATCAGCTGCACGATGACACGATAGTTGGAGGAGAAGATCACCACATGTATGCACAGAATGAATGAAGGTGCACTAGTATGGTACTGCCCTTTGTATAGAAGAAATGCAAAAAGTGCCTCATGTGACTTATGACACCTTTCAGAACTGTGCATGTATTTATCTGTTCCTTCAGACTGTAATGAGCTAAAATATTATTCGATGGTTTTGAACATTGAATATTTGTATGTGTTTCCACGGATTGCTTCATTTCTGTTCAGTTTTTTAGTATACGCATAAACTTGGATTATATATATGCATGCACTTAAGCATATTCAGTTTAGCTCTGTTGGAAAACTTGCCAAAACTTCTGTACGGTTCTCTGGTG